TATTAATGAATTGAGAGAAAGGTTTTGAGGATTACCCTTATAGTGATCTCTTGAAGAGTTGAGATTGATCTTTAGATTTGCAAAGGATAAGGGTTTTCTTGAGTTTCTAGAGGGATAGTAAGAGGAATAGGGGGTATGGAGAGGTTTAGAGGGGTGTAGAGACAGTTGGGGGCAGTTCTACCATCGGCCCTAAAAGAGATTTTATAGGGGAGAGTTGCAGGCAGTGGTACCGCTAGCTGGGTGGTGCTACCGCCTAGAGACAGTGTGCTCTAGCGATGCCATCGCCAATCCAGCAGTGCTATTGCTAGTGCACTCCCTTCTATCTTCAAGCTATAACTTTTTACCATTGACAACCTAGCAGCCATTTTTAGCATTCTACATGTGATAATCATTCAAGTCAATATCCAAATATATTCAAGCTAATGTTTACTAATCCTAAATTTAGCGTTCAAGTCATCACTTTTTTTATTATTAAAAATGCAAGCTTCACTGCACTTTTAAGATGAGCAAGCTAACACTTTTCGATCCATGTGCATTAATTATTTAACCATACAAATTATAAATATAAGAAATTTTATAATACAATTCATGTCACAAACATCAAGAAATGATATATCATGGTTTATTCGTATAACTCATTTCCTTGGTTGATGGAGGGCCGTGGGAGAAGAGTTTTGTGAAGAGCTTAAAAAGAAATAAGGTGAAAGAATCAAGATTTGTATCGAAGAATATCTTTAAGAAATAAGAAGATTATTTCATGTAGGGTACATCTAAAGTTGTAAATAGCGACATATCATCTCAACAAATCCAAAGTTATCATCACCCCCTCCTTTTGAAAAACCTAATGGAAGCAACGTAGATAATTTCCTATAAGATTAAGGATAGCTAAGTATGCTCTAGTATTTCATAAAAAAATCATGCATCATTATTTAATACTGAAAGACACTACATAAACCATTTTTAATTGAAGGGTTTATCAAAAACTCAAGTATCAAATATCGAAATGTCAAGATCATGATTAGGATAAAACTTATTTAAATTCAAATCATTAAATCATCGAAGTCACTCAAGAGATTCAAAGTGACATAAATAGATTCACTGAAAATTTGATAAGATTTTAGGAATATAGACATTTTCAAGAATAATGCATTCTCCTTTTTTTGTGTTTCAATTTATGTGATTTATTTTATACGAGCATGCCTTTATCTTTTATGCAAAATAAAACATGTATTATTGTTTAAAAAATGAAGAAAAAAAATATTCAAGATCAAATGTGTAGCACATAATTTCAAAACATAGGATTTTAAATTATATCATTAAATCATTAAGCATGATTTCGTTGAATATAAAGTATCTTTATTTAAAATTATTTTGTTACCGATAGTTCTAATTCTAATGATATTTTCTTTATTATTTTGACTAAAGAGCTTTATAAAGTATTTTGGATCTTCAGTGATAAGCCTTAAGCATCCACTATCAAAATATCATTTTTGCTCCTAGCTTGTGATTGTAAACATATCTATAAGAAATTAGGTTTTCTTTTAGGTACCCATTTAACCTTGGGTTCCTCATAAATAGATCTACCTAACTTACCATTTTGTATTGGGTCATTTAAGGTTCCTTTAGGGACCCAAATTAACTTATGTGAACTATATCTCTTAAATGGATATTTATAAACAATATGTCCGAGTTTGCAACAAAAGTTACATTTGATGCGGGGTGATACATGCAAGGTAGGGTCTTTAACAAAAGTGGTTGGATTTTGGTAAGTGCTACTCACAAATCCGATTCTACCTCTTCTATGAACATGACCCTTAGTGGTAAGGATCATATTCAAGGACTTGCTACCAATCTTAAACTTTTCTAGAGTTTCTTTGAGTAATAAGTTTTTCTTCTCAAGTGCATGCTCATATACATGCAAGTTTTCCTTCTAGTGTTCACACTTAATGTGTAGAGGCAACGAAGGATTATCATGCTTAAGTTTTTCAAATTTATTATTTAAAAGGGCATGCTCATTTTTTAAAGAATTATACTTTTTGCTCATTATTCTACATTCATCGAATAAATCATGAAAAATACTTAAAAGCTCATTGAAAGATAAATTTGCATCTAATGAACCACTTACCTCATCTTTGATAGTCATTATTGCATAGTTGATGATTTCCTTGTTACTTTATTCTTCGTCTTTGGAATTGCTTGAATCATCCCACATTGCTTTGAGCGCCTTCTTCTTCTTTGGTTGTTTCTTCTTCACTTGGGGATATTCGCTTTTGAAATGTCCCAGCTTCTTGCATTCGTAGTATATAACTTATTCTTTTTTTGGTTTAATTTTATTTTTAGTATCATTTTTAGATTTATTTCTTTTTATAAATTTTTTGAACTTTCTTGTCAATAGTGCTAAATCATTATCATAATTCTCATCACTTGAACTTCCTTTTAAGTGGTCTTCATGAGTTCTTAGTATCATATCCTTCCTATTTTTTGGAAGGTTATTCTCAAGCTCTTCATGAGCATTGCAAGTCATCTCATAAGTTATTAACTACATGATAAATTCTTCGAGAGGAAAATTATTCAATTCTTTGGCCTCTTGAATGATCGTTACTTTAGGGTCCCAACTTTTTGGAATGTATCTCAATATTTTATTAACGAGTTCAAAGTTAGAAAAACTTTTACCAAATGCCTTTAGACCGTTGACGATATCTGAAAATCGGGTGTACATGTCTCCAATGGTCTCACTTGGTTTCATTCGGAACAATTTATTAAGTATAGACTAAAAGATTTATTTTGGAATCCTTTACTCTACTAGTGCATTCGTGAGTGATTTCGAGTGTGTATCAAATATTGAAAGTCGTTTCACAAATAAACACTCGATTGAACTCATTTTTATCTAAAACGTAAAACAAGGCATTCATAGCCTTGGCATTTAAAAAGAAAGTCTTCTTCTCCAACTCATTTCAATCGTTCATTGGAAGATAAGACTTTTGAAAGCCGTTTTTCATAATGTTCCATAACTCAAAATCCATAGAAATTAGAAAAAATCCTCATTCTAGTTTTCCAATAAATGTAATCCGTTCCATTGAATATAAGTGGACGTGTGATTGAGTTACCCTCGTGGTTGCCGGCAAACTCCATCTCTCTTAGGTTTCAAACCAAAATGAGAGTGATCTCGCTCTAATACCAATTATTATGATCAAGAACGACACTAAGAGGGAGGAGTGAATTAGTGTAGTAGATAAAATAATAAATTTAAATAATTTTGAAAAACTTCATGCGATGAAACTCTTAGTTCGATGAAAACCATTTTGAAAAGACGTTTGACTCGATTAAGTTTGTAAGTGAGTAGAGATGAGGGGATTGGACAGTTTGGAATAAAGTAAAGTAGAATATAGCAAAAATAAAGTACGCACCAAGAAGAGAACATGTCAATTTTATAGTGGTTCGGTCGTCCAACCTATATCCACTACCGACACCTCCTCCAACGAGGTCACTGATTTCCACTATTGATCTTTCTTGAAGGGCAAAGATCAATCACCCCTTTATAGAACTTTCACATGTGGCTCACTCTGCTTTACCAACTGAGAAGTAAGAGGTATTTATAGTTCTCAATTGGCTTCAAAATTAAAGCCAAAAAATGTTATATTCCCGGTTTTTGGGTACTGGCGGTACCACCGTCATTATTGGATGGTACCACCATCCAATCTAGCAGTACTACCGCATGACAAAGCCTCGAGACTGGGCTCTGGCGGTACCATTGCTTGGCAGCATTAACTACTAGTGATATCACCACCCAGACCTCTTGGGAGGCTGAGCCTCAAGCGGTTCCACTACCCACCCTAGGCGGTGCCACTGCTTGACAAGGCTCCAAGTGGCCGAGTGGGCTTTCTATCTGGCCCAACTTAGCCATGTTTTAGGCCTAGTTGGCCCCAAACTGAGTTAATAGGATTATCTCTCAATCCTAACCCTAATTATATACTAACTTTGATTTTTAAGGTATATACTGAACAAAACAAGTCCAGTAAGTCTAGGTTTCTTCCAGCGATCTTCCAGCGGACTTCCGACGATCTCTCGACAATCTTCCAACGGAGTCCCGGCAAGCTCTTGGACTTCACGATAATCTTCTTGGTGAGTTCCGACGAGCTTCTTTGGCAAGCTCCTTTACTTATGGGCCAATTCCGACGACACTTCCGACGAACCTTTAGACTTCCGACAAACTCTCGAACTCCCAACGAATTTTCAATCTTGACTTCGACACTTCATTTTGTTTTATGCGTTGATCGCTATCGTAGTTAATCCTACACACTTTTCTCATCATATAGATTAGATCAAATAATTTACTAATTGATTTCATCATCAAAATCTAAGATTCAACACCTCGACCGATGAGGACTCCTCTGGAGAAAAGAGACAAAGTGAATGATTAGGGCTAATAGTGGCTGAGTCGCGCCTCGACCGATGAGGACTCCTCTGGAGAAAAGAGACAAAGTGAATGATTAGGGCTAATAGTGGCTGAGTCGCGCAAGTCAATAGAGGCTCAAACCAAATTACACCCAAAGCGCATAAATCAAAAAAACTAGAGCCGTGCTAGAAGACCAGCTATAGCGAAGGGTCAGGGCAAATGGCACCCGAGGCATATGAGTCAACAAAACTTAACCTGCGCTAGAGGACCCACTACGACGGAGAATCAAGGCGAATGACGCTCGAGGCACGAGTCAAGAAAACTCAACCTATGCTAGAGGACTCGCTACGATGGAGGGTCACGATGAATGATTCTGAAGGTGCCTGAGTCAAAAAAAAAAAAAAAAACTCGGCCCGTACTAGAAGACGCGCTACTACATAGGCACAAGAGAAAACGTTATCTTGTAAACAACAAAGAACGACACCACCTGTGTACATACACCAACCAATCTCAACGGCTTCAAGAAACATTGCAAGAGTAGATCGCACAAGCCAACGCTACTGACTTTGTGTGCATCCAACAGCCGCAAAGCACAGTGCACTCCTGAATTTTAATGGCAATACATATAAATTCTGCAACTCCACCCCTTTACTGTTTGTACATGTTCCTCCTTTACTCTCGAGTTATGTTACAACCATCTTGCCAAGCTATACAAGAAAGAAACAAGGCCAAGCCAGCACAAAAGTCAATCAATTGCCAGTTCTCAGCATACTCCAAAACATAGACTTCAGTTATACCCAAAGGGGGAAAGAGCAAGACTGTTACACTCATCATTCAGGCACCGGTCCTTCAGTTATATCCAAAGGGAAGTAAGCAAGTTGGCTACACATTACTCTGTTATCAGTGCCTTTTCAAGACTATTTATTGGCGAAACTCGAAGATGGGAGAACAGAAGCTTCCACTCCACTCATTGTTGGCGAACCAATTTGGCTTGTTTTCTGTTCCCATGGATCGTACAAGAGTTCTGCTTCAGGAAATGATACACCAGAAGGCACATCCAGAAGCACATCACCTTCAGAACTGTCAGCAATGAACTGCATGGAGCTCCTATCGGGAGGGGATGCAAAAATTCTTCTCGGGCTGAAGCATGCACCTTCATGGTCGACAAAGTCCCCCATGTCACCAGCTTCTCTGGTAATTAAACTAGAATTTGGCCGAGTAAAACATCTTGAAGGAGGATTTGTGCACCCTGATCTGCACACTCTTTTAGGGCTTCTCATGGTGCTTTTCATCCCTGAAATTGAGAGGACAACCATCAATTATACTGAGAGAGACAAGTTCATTGTTTAGTTCACCATGACCCTTTTTTTACACATATATGCCTCGAACTAGTCTTAGCAAAGAACTGTAATTTGTCCAGCGGTTTGATAAACTAAAGCTTTTTTAAGAGTGTTAATCATGTAAGTGAAAATTTCCAAGTACAAACAGAAGATACTCCAGGTATGAGACTAAAATGCATAAGCAAAATGATGTTCACCATTCCAACATGGTTTTTCTTTTCAGCAAAAACATCAAAGAACCAAACCTGAATAACTCTGATTTTGCCTGTCATGATGCCTTTTTAGGGATGCTGAAATGGAAAGACCAGGAAGTCTTTGTCTGCTTGATATTCCATTTCCTCCTTTTATCTTCTTAGAGGGTGCATCCTACAGCAATTAAGGTGAAATATCAGTCAGAACAAACCATGTCAGTCTTTAAGACTCAAATATTTGAGTCATACTAAATTCTCAGCAGCTTTGTACTCGTATGGATAATTCGTTTTACCTTTACTTTCTGACACTGGTCTAACCACTGAAACTTTGTACAATTTAGTGACACAAGCCTATTTAAAGTCCTACGCTGTTCAGCATCTGCTACGGACATGGAGAGATCAAAAGTTCCTTCTTGAAGCAGTTGCTGGAAGTAAGATAATGTCTCCAAGAACTGGGGACTGGTAAACATGCTTTTGAGGCTGCCACGTCAATAACAAGATGGTATGAAAACTGAAGAGCAACTTTACCTCGCTAAAATAATAAAGCCATAAGCATGAATTCAACAGACCTTTCAGGAGGTTTGACATTGTCTATAGATGGTAGATATTTCATCAACAATTGCTGTTCGTCATGTGTCAGATATTTCATGAAACTCTCAAAGTTAATGATAACCTACAAAGGTAAAATGGTCCAATCAGATCTCAGCAGTGTAGAATGTCACAAGAGACATAACATACTATGAGGCACCCCATTAAAAGACATAAAGAACCACATTCTTACATTCAAGTCTGCAGAACTTAGGGAAGAAACTCTATCTTGCAGGATATTTAACTTTTCAGTCGAAATTTTAACCCTGGCAAAGACAGACAAAGCATGAAATTTCAAAATCCAGTTAATTCAAGCCTAAAATGCATTGTTCAGAGATAAGCATATATCATTGTCTTGTTGTTCTGCAAGCAAGAAAGTACCTTTTGGCACTGTCTTGGGCCATTTCTGTTGTAGATTTCATTGTGTCAGTACCAGAATTTAGAAGACTTGTGCCTTTGCTTTCAATATTTACAGGAAAGTATGACAAACCTGAATAACCTTCATTCATAATGTATGATTTATCTACTGGAAATGAGCTAGCTTCTGATTCCTCGTCTACTGATTCTGAATTTGGATGTTTAATGAGTACACCTCCATACCCGATCTCAAAAGATCCAAGTGCAGTTCCACTTTCATAAAGTAGATCATCTTCTGAGGATCTGGACAGATTAGAAGCTTGTTCTTCATGCAAAATGGAATATAGGTCCTTTGTGAGCTTTTCTACAGAAAGTTTAGGACGAGTCATAAATATCTTCTTAGATGGTGCTATTGAATCACATACGTTTGACTGCACTGAACCTGAAAAACAAACAGAAAAATTACTGAATGACAATGCATGGTGAGTGAGTGCCTAATATAGCATCAACAAGTAAGAGGCTTGCAACGGTGGAAACTGAAAGTTAAATTTGATCCTTTGTTGTTGTCAATCAATTTGAATGTTCCCAAATTCTCATGTGACTAAAGCAATTCAGTGTCCACATATATCTCACCACACATTATATAAAAATGATGGGAGCAATTACAGTAACACAGACAAAACTAGTATAAAAAATCAAGCTTGGAATAAGATGCATACTGTGAACTTATGATAGTCAAAACTTGAACTTTAGCTTCCAAACCAAGTACGTTCACTTCAAGAAGGAATGTGCAGGGAAGCTAGCTATTATAAGAAACTCAGCAAAATTTACAAAAAAAAACTTTGACAAATTTCACTAGAAGGTTTGAACAGCAATATTACCCAATCATTCACTTCGTCCTAATGTTTCTTTGACTTATTTCTAGATGGTCTTTTATTGAAGGACAGCCAATGCCACCACAAGGTGTTGGACTTGACCACCTCAGTCATCTTGAATGAAAGTTGACTCACTACATAACATAAAGACGGATGTGATCTAACCATATCAAGAGGTGAAAGAAGTAAAGACAAGAAAATGTCAGCCTCAGGCCCTCATCTAAGGAATCAACTTTCGGTTCTACAGGCCTATGGGGAGGTTCAAATCGATACTTACTAGTCCAACCAAGGACCTGTATTGGACCATGTAGGTTGGCACCAGTCGATATTTTTTTTTTTTTTTTTTTTCTCAACCAGACTTGATAAATTGGTATAACTGTCACGGTAGAGTAGAATTTTACTGGTCCAACTGGTTGCCAAAGTTGGTAGTGGTCTGAGATTTAAATTGTTGACCTCACCAATTAATATACTTGAGATCCCTGCCCACAGTAGATCAACCATGTCTGCTGCGTTATATATTCATCGGTAAACGAAAACTGGGTTAAATCATAGCTGATCCAAAATTTTATCATTTATTAGCTGTAAAATGGCTGAACCACCATATTATGATCACTCAGATCTACAAATGAACAATATTTTCATGTTTATCAGCAAGTTGCAATTAGTCACTCGAATGTCAAAAGTATACAGGCATAATATCCTCAACACATAATAGCATTAGAAGAAAGATAAAACATTTCAAAAATTCATAACCCAGTGTAGTTGAACTTGGGGCATCCAAGTTCATCTTCGTGTACCACTTGAATATGTGAGTCTATTTCCTTAAAATATCAAATATGCTTAATAACTTAAACCTAGCATTATAAATGCAGAAGGGAGAAGGATGCACTTTATAAATCGACATACTGAATCAGTAACTGACTCCAAAGTTAAAAGTGCCCACTGGTTCTGACCAGTTTATTTTCATTCAATGCTAATTGATTGTTCTAATTTGGTTAAGCAGCTAATCTGCAGCTAATATAAGAGGTGACTCATTTCCAAGGAATTAAATGGACAACTTGATGATCAAAAAAGGACTATCATAATGTAATTAGATCACTTCTTGAGATTTTTAAAGGAAAAAAAAATCAGAGTAGAAATAATTAATATTGTAAAAACACTTTAATTCTCAAGATAAAAAATATTTTCTTAGCCACACAACCATCTGAAAGGGATTTATGATGTCAAAATATGATACAAAGAAAAAAAAAGACAACTCTTTGTCATGGAATGCAATGCATCAGAGATGACATGAATTAGGTGACTGATTAGTCAATACATAAATACATATATACACACACACACACACATGCACACACACACTGTTTTGTCACTATATGGATGGTACATTCAGAACAATAAATGTCATATCAACTAAAACTCATCTACATATAGTTGACACCTCTGATGAACCTCAAGTTTAGCTATAAAAAAAGGTATTATATGTGATTGTAAATAAAATATTAGTAAAAGTGATGTCTAAAATTCTGACTTTGAATATCTCAAGGTCAATAGAACAACATCACTCTTTCCAAAATTCTCTACCAATGTAATCTGGCATTCAAATAATAAGGTGTTTCTGAGATCTCCTCAAACAAGTCTAAGGTGTCTGATAAACAAAAACAATAATAACCTGTTAGGTCACTTGCATCATTGGTGCCAAAATGTAAACAGCTGTCTGAACCTGAAATGGCTGACCCAGAGCTGGATCGATTGCTTATATCTCCCTCTACAATCTTGTGGAAGTTCTGGTCACAATACTGCATTTCACATTCACTTTCCAATTTATGATTGCCTTGTTGTATCTTTTGCAACTTCTCATTTTTCGGTTTGATGGGGACACTTTTGATTTTTGGAACTTTTAACTCATCCGAATCAAAAACTTCACGAGCATGCAGTGGTACATAGTTTGTCAATGAACCCTTGGTTCTCCACCTGGAACCACATGCATTGCATAAAACTGGCTTTTCAGGTGGTCCATTCCGCCAGAGAGGGGTACCTATTCAACATTTAGCTTCAGATACCGTATGATTGCATAGAAAACACAGGTCTTGTAGTTTATATATGTCAAATAGAATAGTGGCACACAAACGTAATTCCTTAACTGAAACAATTATAGCCTTTTAAATGAGCAAAAGAGAAAACAAGGAAGAAAAATGTAATAAGCTTATGAATGAAAGTGTGTAAAATCATTGTGTTACTAAATGAACAAAAACCAAGTCTTTCATGTCCACAAAAGGACATAGGAAACTTCAAGAGTAACAAAAGTAGGAACTTTTGAATCATGTTGCATCCTGTCCTTTCAAAAGCCAAACTCTTGTGCAAGCAGCATAATGTACTATATACCTAAGCAGTTTGATCAGAATTAGAACACAATGATACAATAAAACCATAACCAATGTGATAAACCCTTTTTAAATGATGACCTCCTCAGCCTAATCTATAGGTACCATCTAAGCCCATCTCCTTTGGATTGTCTCCAGATTCCCATTTTCTATTGTCTCTTTTTTGGATAATGCTTAAACAATAATTAAGAACAGATATTTTTGTTAACCAATGAGTATCTTTTATAACTTATATGGAATGTCTCTTATAATCCATATTCCATATGGACCAACATGGCACGACTTGATTATCTGACACAAAACCAAGACTTATTAAAGAAGAAGCATAACAAAAACCACATAGATAATACCAATTGACACATCACTATCGACCTGAAATTCTAAAAACAACTCCTGATGCTGGGTGCTCTAGAGAAAGGTAAAGATAACAAGAGAATGGAACAATGAATATGATTTGCTACTGGAAATAAGCAAATGCTTGTAAGTCACGAATGAAACTTTTATAAGTGAGCAGTGAAAATATAGTATGGCTGGGAGCATCAAAGAACATTCTAACAATGGAATAAGAATTAGTCCAAGTAAAAAAGCTTTGAGGTCAAGAAAACTGGCGTTCCAAGAGGTAAAAACTACATGAGACAAAATCATCGGAGATGAGTGTGGAATGTAAATGTAAACCTAGAAATACACCAGCTCTCCCAAAAGATCCTTGCTAGTTTTTCTCCTTAAAATTACATTCTCTCAAAGTTGAGAATTAATGGAAATATGTAATTCAAATTTCGTTTTAGGATACATCCGAAATTAGAATGTACATGAGGAATGAGTCCTATAAGAAAGCAGCAGGCCCCAATAGCATGATATTGAATCTCCCAATAATAGTCAGCGATTAAACACTTCATTGTGAAGCCTACATGATCAACAGAAAAGGAAACCAATTTCATCAGATCAAACATAACACAAACATACTTTCGTTCTAAGTTCAAATTTTCCATGGATTCCCAATCTAGGGACAGGTGGATCTCCAAAGAAAATCACTCCAAACAAGTGGATGTCGATTTCTCTTTTTACTGACTACCGAGACAGGCAGAAGGAAAATCAAGGCCTCTGCAAATTTTTTATTCTTGTTGCAGATCACTGGAATTTCTCTAAAATGTCTCACAGTCACTGCTTCAACTCCTTTAATCCGGGACAAATATTTTGCAAGTGATAGCGAGACAACAGAAACTACAAAGATAAGCAGGTCTTATCTGAGGTTTTCAGATCATAAATATGAAGGCAAAATGAAATAGAATGAAGCACGGACTATAAGTAGATTCTGGTAATGTCACATACGACGAAGTCAATCTTTCCACCACCTAACTAAGCAAAGCACGGACCAAGAAGAACATGCAAACGGAACAACAGAAGAGAAAAAAACACGCCAATAACCCATTGATTCAGAACGATAACAAGAAGCGTCTGCATCACAGAATGCCTTTAATATTTTTCCGGCCTGGGATCCGAAGGCAAGCAAATTAATGAGAACAATAACCAGAAGATAACAATCATGAAAGCGTAATTAGACTTCTGTCCTGGAACAAATTGTTAATTCTAAGAAATTAAACCATGAAAAAAGAATAAACCAAAATAACGAAAGAGAGAAGGACGAAAGAAATCAGAGAGGCAAGGCAAAGATCCACAATAGCTCATGAACATGAACAAGAGCTCACTTGTAACTCCACAATGGTGGCAAGGTCCTTGCTTTCCCATTCGTAACCCTTGTTTCCCCTTCCCTTTAGATCCCAATAAAAATCAACACAGGAAAAAGAAAGAGAGGAGGGGGAAAAAACTGTTCTTTATGTGAGAATTTATGCTAAATTAAAGAGAGTTCCATGGCATCTTCTTGCAGTCCCCAAACCAATATCACTGAGAGTCCTCAAAAGACTCCGGACATAGTAAAACCAAAGTACAACCCCCCTTTTCAATAGCCACCACCAGCATAAAGTTCCAGAATTCTTCTATTCAGTCCAGAAGACCAAAGAAAGAGAGAGAGAGGTGGGGGGGGGGGGGGGGAGGAGGGGAAAGGGAGGAAAGAAGGAGGACAGAGGTGGAGAGTAAATGGAAGGATGGAGAGGAAAAGGGGAAATTTTACAAGGTGGGATGGGTGTGTAGGTTGGAATCTGTACAATCCAATCGGAAGGAGGAGTCCATTGGGCAACCAAATTAATGGTGAGGGAAAAAGGAGAGGAGGTGAACAGGTGGGGAGGAAGGAGGCCTTCTTTTTCTTGCCTTGCTCTTTTATTTGTCCACTGTGACCTCCCCCTCTATCCTCCTCCGCCTTTGGGTTTGGGGTGGTGTGTGTGTGTGTGGGTGCTTATTAAACATGTTTCCATTCCTAAAAATATACCACATATAGTATCTAAAACAAATATTTTTTAGCAGGTACAAACCTGTTGGGCATTGAGATGCTTTAGTGCGTAAAAATGTTTTTTCCATCTCTTTTCTCTCTTGATGGCATCGAAAGCATCTTTTGCTAACAACATGAATGGATGGATGTGGAAAGAGAGAATCCCAAGCCATCTTTAACAGAAGCAATCGATGGCCGTGTTTCCGGTCAGCAATTCGATCCGATCGGACCTTTAGATTCAGATTGGGTTCAGACAAATTGGACACATCTCGGATCGATGCATCACAATAATATATATATATATATATATATATATAAAGATCAAGATTGATTATGCAGGGATCAAAATCTAGGAGGATAAAATGTATACATTTGCTGGAAGGAATCGCTCACATTGTCAAAAGATTAACTGCATCTGATGCCATGATCTTTTCGGTGCTCCAGCAAAGTAAATGTGCACCACATGCAGTTCATCTGGGCGATTGGAACAGTGGGCATCCCTCGATCTACGAAAACATCCATAATAATCACAGGTAAATATAAAATATTTTAAATTATTATGTCACGATTATTTGGGAAATAGTAGCATCGAATCCCCAAACGTAACACCAGCAATTGAACCTGGAATAATTGGTTGTAGTAAATATGATCCTCTATTAGTTTTCTTATTATTGCCACTACTAATGCATGTCATGTCAACGTGTTTCACGAGCAAGATCGATACGATATCAAAACATTGACATACGATATATTTGGTTATTTGATAAAAAAATTAAACAAGACGATCGATATGGGAGAAGGGAACAAAAAAAAAAAAGGGGGAGAAATACCTCGATAATATAATACAATAATGAAAACCTATATTAGAATCATTATTATTTCTTGTCAAATCCTCTAACATCCATTTGTTTTGTCAAAAAAAGTAAAACAGTAGCTTGGATTCAGTTTCCATTTGTTAGATTCTTATGATAACATATTGATATTAAATATCGATGATATTTATTATATCTATAATTTGTTGTAGTTTCTGACAAAACATAGGAGATTGACAAAAGACGATATGAACCCGAGCAATGAAGTAAAAATTACTATAGTGGCTATTGGCGATATCACTCTACATGCATGTTATTTTATTTCTTTTATTATCAAAAATATTATTTTTATTTTATGTTTAATATTTAATAGATATAAATTAGTTTTTGAGAAATATTATATTATAAGATCATATGCTAGACACTGCTCCATATAATATATTATAAATATTTATAATAGATTATGGACAAATTTATAAGGCAGGCATGTACGTGAGGTATATTAGGAATTCAGTAACAATTTTAGGGTTTTCTCCTGATATTTACTTGGCCATCACTTCAACTTCCACTCACCACTTTTTCTGATGCCAACACTTTTGCTGGTTGAGCTTATCTTATCTTACTTCCCAAATGAGCTCAAGATGGTGACAAGATATATCTGTTGACTTTAAAGCCATACATTCGTAGATCAATGGAAATATACATATACAGGCTTAAGCTTCGTTTTCTTCCTAATTGTACCGCAGGAGCAGCATCACAGGCTCATAACTAATAATACTATTATTCTCCTCTGCCAATTAAGATAGTGTTTAAGCTGATTCAACCCATCACCACTCGTGCTCCTAAAGAAAGATTTTGACAGCCAGACTTTTCATCAAGGGGTGAGTTGAGTCGCATTCTATTTATCTGTTTCTCTGTGCCAAGTTCTGCTGGTCCAATTTGCTCATCGAATATCTCAAAGCATGAAGACAAGACAATGGGGAGTCCGTTTAAAGGCCAACCTCGAGTAGACGACAGTCCTCGTTCTGAACCTGTCTGCCTGCTCGAAAACTTGTTTGGAATGAGTTAGGTTTAGATGAGTAAATGATGTCGAGTAAGGTTCAAGTCATTTTAGATTCAGTCGAGATATAAATGAATGGAGTTGGAAGTTACCTCCCCACCTAACAAATCAAAGAAAAGTTCTTGTGATTATTTATTTATATCGCATGAAATGGGGTGTGGCTTAACTTAATATTAGAATAGGTGGGTTTAGAGTAGGAGAGAAGAAACCTTAATGATTAAAGAACATAATCAACCTACAAATTCTATAAAGCAAACTTCGAAATAACTTTTATCTTATGATTCTATATTTCTGAACATTAAAGATACTGACAACTTTATCTCATCTGATTCCCCTCAGATAAACATACCTGATTCAAAAACACTTAGATGGGAAGAATGTTAGATATGAGACAGCTCCAACCAAATGGGCCCCGATTGACTTTTTAATTATCATCTCAGATTTATAAAAAAATAATAAATTATCATCTTATTATTTATAATTTATATACTTTTAATTTTAAATTTGAATTTTTATTTTTATATAATTAAATATTTTTAATTAAAAATTATATCTTTTCGATAGAATCACAAGTAATGAAAAAAATCTTTTCCACAGGATAGTAGATCTATTAGGTTATCCTGAGAATAAATATAGGATAAAAATACATAAGTTTTTTTTTTAGGGTGGGAATGTTTGAAAATCCATAAAATTAAATTTCAATGCTAATAAAATATATATATATATATATATATATCAATAATTTAATATAAAATAATAATATATTAATTTACTATGAAACTCATGTATAAAAAAATAATAATAATTTTTATGTTGTAAATAAAGTCATAAATTAGTTATATGCGATACATCCCAAAAGCGAATAAAGATAACTCATTTTACGCTCCTAATAATGGATGGAGTGGTATCTGTCATCATGTTCCTCCTAATAACGAATAAAAAAACTACTTAACCATCATATATGATAATCTATTAATCCCTGAAGAGAATTGTCCTACTTGTTCTCAATAGATATACATAAACAATCATGATCATTAATTTACTTTCTTCCATTCATTCATGCATGCATTCAAGAAGTAGTATGATAAAATATTATAAAGGATCATGTTTAATATATGATAATATTTAAACATGACCTATTAGATCATGTTTAATATATGATAAAAGGTCACCTAACTCTTTTTACATGTTGTATTTCCAATTTAATCTTAGACACATATAATATGATAATAATCATATCCATATCATCAACTTAATATAAAAAAAGTAAAAAATCATTAATCATTTTCAAATGACATAATTATATAAAACTTTTAAATTTATAAAATTATAAAGATATGAATCATAAAATCTCTTAATAGTCTTTAATAAATCAGAATCTTAATAGAAATAATCTAATTGACTTGAACCAAGCTAAATTCAATTATAACATAACGGAACCAACCTCAAATCCCTATAGAATCGATTTGGAATCATCTTAGATTAGTGTAATTTAGATTTGACTAGTTTCAATTAGGTCATGTGAGCTTGAACTAATTAAATTGATTTTTAATCATTATGGACGAATCGATCAAATTTGTTTGATTTAGTCAAATATCGAGCTCAAACCAAGGGAAAGAAAATTAGATTATATCATATAGTACTAGCGCATACTAAATCAAATTAGATTATATCGTATAGTACCCATCTGAATTTTGGATGGGTCATATGCATTGCATATGTTTGTCTCAAATAATAGGTTGGACTAAGGTATAATAGTTTGGATAGAGAGGTGATGAATGACATGTCTAACGTCAATTGCATAACTGGGCGAGCCCAGCTTCGAGGGATAAACTAAGCCTCACTTACAAGTTGGACTAAGTCTTATTATTGAATTAGGTTGTGCTTGACACATAGGTTGGATTATGCTTAGTCGCATATATGGGTTAGGTTATATCTGACCACATTGGTAAGGTTGTATTGGCCACTGAGCTAGTCTAGCCAATCAACTTATCTCAAGATAGACATAATTTGACTCATCTTATTAAATTAAATATTAATATTTTTAAAAATATTTTTAAAAAATTATAAAATAATAATTAACCTTGATCTTTTTTTATAAATTAAATAATTTAAATTACTGATTCTAAATTTAAAACTAATTAAATCATACATATATATATATATAATTACTTGAAACATAAATGTCTAATTAAATAAATTAGAACTATTTATTAATATTAAATTAACTAATCTTTCTAACATCAATATCCAATAATTACTATTTATTAATCATAAAACTTTAAAATTAAAATATTATTATACACCATACAAATTATAATAATTTTGATATCAAATATTTTAAAATATGAATAAAAGTAGATGATCCTATTTCTCTGGATCCTATCAAGGGAAGCCTCTTTATACAAGATGAGCTCTTCTCGAAAGATAAAAGATAATTTAATATTTATTTTAAATTTAATTTTATTTTATTTTTACATTAATTTATTTCTTATGGTCCATACATAAAAAATAAAATTTAAATTATTTACTTTCTAAAAATTATATCATTTATTAGAAAATAAATCAATAATAATTTAATTAACTGGTTAAAAAATTAATATATTAAGAAAAATAATTTAATCGTTTTATTAATCATACTATATAAATAATAAAGTTAATAATTTAAATAAAAATAATATATTATTTATGATAAATTTAATTTATATTAATAGAAAAAATCTTCAGTGATTATAGTAACAAAGAACTCAAAGTTTTATAGTTTTATGACAAGTTTTAATCAAAGAGGTGAAGTTTTAGAGGTTATATGATTACCACAGTTTATACGTTTCTCGAGGTAAATCTATATCAAGTTTAGCCGCACAAAAGGCTAAAGGTAAATAGAACTTGGCCTTTTGAACTTGTAAGTCTGGAACCCAATTGTGCCTCTGAGCAATTCTCGATAAAGAAGACGACGGAGGAGCAAGAAGTCATGATTCATGCAATTACATCGAGGAGTAACAAATGCAGAGACTATGAAGTTGGACAAAGTCTTCAGGCTTAGAATTCAGCTATTCTTGATGCCTGCTTTAGAATGTAGCATAACCATGATGTAGAACAACTTAAATATTCCAGGGAACTAATGCAGCATAAAAGAAGTTCTCGAGCTTGATGATTCCAGTGAGATGGGTCGACTATTTTCTCTTCATTTAAGGTGAATAGTGGATGATCAATTTGCGGACAAAGCCTCCTGAGTTTTAGCAGAAGTCTGTTGTCGTTGTTGGAGAGGAGTTCATCATCTCTTCCCTTGCATCCACCATTCCCTCTCTCTCTTGCTCTTTGATGCTGCTACCTTACATATCGTCCTTCCTGACAAACCCTGCATAATTTGCTATCGATTATTCGTCTAATTCTCTACAAAGTACTCCTCGTCGTGAAATAATGGTTGTTCCCGTGACACAAAGCAGCTGAGATTACCAACTCCATGATTCCTCCTCCAAGCTCTTGATCGGACCACAAACCAAAAACTTCTCTATTTCATAGAACAATAATATAATAAAAAGAAAATTAAGAAACCCAACCCGACCCACTGACCGTGCTTACGTCATGCGGTTTTCCTTTGGGACCCACTTCGAAGATGTGCGAGACGCAAAGATATCTTTTTTTGGGTCGAAAGAAAAAGGTGCCACCAATCTCGATTTGCAATGGACGCACCAATTTGAAGCCCGACGCGTGACCGCTGAGGTGTACGCATTGCAACGGAAGGCGAGGAACATCCCGCGGAATATTCCCTTTCTACATTGATATTTTAATGGCGGATTCCATTCCCACGATATTAAACCAACATCGATAATGGTGTGATTCTATTCCGCGGCGTGCGGGTCGTTTCTCTCTCGAGTCATTGGTTGAACCGATGTGCTTCTAGAGTTTTCTTGTAAAGGTGCAAATGCTTCATGCCACATCTGTGGGTTGCGTTATTCATTATTTAGTTCGTCCTTTAATCTCTCGTTGCTCGCTCTCTATACAATAGGTGTTTCTGGCTTAAACGATTAGGGTCCTTGTTTGCTGCGTCGAGGAGCGAGGAAGGAAACCAACGCGGCTCAGAGATGGAGCAGACCTTCATCATGATCAAGCCCGACGGCGTGCAACGAGGCCTTGTAGATCTCTCTCTCTCTCTC